AATGAACTTTACAACTTTGGTGGGGGGGAGGGAGGGAGGAGGAATGGGTGAGGGGGAGGAGGGGAGGTGGGTTGGGGGGGCGGGGGAAGGATGGGAAGGGGAAACAAAGGAGGAAGCTACAATGCTTGATAAGAAATGTACTCATTATCTTGCCCATGTAATTGTAACCCCTCTGTACAGTATTTTCACAATAAAAAAATTGTAACCCTGAAAAAAAATTTAAATATACAAAAAAAGAATTGAGTAAAAGTTATAAGTTTAATGACTAGAAGTTGAGCCAATAAAATTTTCCAGAACAATGGGGAAAAAACTACACATTGCCCTCACTTTTTCCTGCTTGAGATACCAGGGCTGGTGGTAGGAGCCTCTAAGGGTGTTATACATTTGGCATGCATAGTGGCAAGAACCATTAGCTACATCTACTCTGCCATTGAACTGCTAGCCATGATAATCACTACCTTGATTTCTTTTACTCCACTACCAAGGGTGCGAGGAAATTAAAAAAACATGGGCTGCTCTGCCCTAATAGCAGCTATGCCATCAAAAAAAACAAGTCAAACATCTCAAAAAACTCAAAAAAAATATCCAGCACAATGAAAGAGGCGGGAACCTATTCAGGCGGCTTACTCCCTGGCACATGCCTAACTTGTGTCCCCTAACTACAACTTTTTGCCTTATTCTAATTGTGCCTTGCCTGCTCAGGTACATGCAGAAGATCCTCATAAAAAAGAAGACATCACCAATCAGTCTGTCAGATACTCAGGCAGGTATCTGGTCTCCCTTGACATTTCACCCCCTTCTCAGCAGGAAGCAGCTCTAGAAAAAAATGACCTTTGCCCATGCTCCCAACACGGTGCCCTCATTTTCAATTATTAAACCGTAGAGTTGGGAATGTTAGCCTAATGAGCTCCCCTCCCATAGCTTAACACGCTCCTTCCCCTCTCTCCAGCTTGGCATGCTCCCTTCCTAGGCAACACTAGGCCCTTCTAGTAAAGGCAGTAAATAATCACCCTCCAGCCCCCCATCTTTGCCTGGGGATGGCACTCCTCTGGGACAGCTACCACCTTATAAGGCAGCAAGAGCTCCTTAGAGTGACCTTCAGGTCTGGGCACTGCAGGGCCCCTTAGTTGCTACTTGGGCAGCAGCCATAAATCCTAGTCCACCATGATGAGGCCCCTGGTCCTCACTTCTACACTCCTAGTCCCTTCTAGCCCCTCTTAACCTCAGTAGGTAATATAGGTCACTTCAGACAATAGCCAGTGCTTCTTCTCACTTCTTGCTTGTGAGAAGGGATCTTGCAGGTCCCTTTCCTGGCAATAAACCTTTGTTCTCTGTACCTGGATGTCTGCATGGTTTTCTGGCAAGAGTCTAATAATCTAACAAGGTTCATTGACTTCTTCTGATTAGACTGAAACTCCATTCTGTATTGAAATCATTGTTTTCTGATCCTCTTGATCTGTCTCTCCTTTGCTAGCGTCCCCATCTTCTTACAATGTGTGCTCTCCAAGCTAATGTACTCCCCACACTGATGATCCCTCTGTAATTCTCATATTCTCTTACAAGGTTCTGTTTGCTACTGAAAGCCTGTTCACATCCACAATCAAGCACCTTTTAGGGCAGCTACGATCTTGCTTTCCTTCTTTATCTGTTGAGGTGCTAATGATCATTGAGTAACATTAGTCTGCCATTTTTTTCTTCTTTTTCTCCAAATTCAATTTTAAAAACCATATTATTTACAATATTCCCATTTTTATATATTGTGGAAAGTTCCAATCATATGACTGTTCAGTTTCTAATTTTCTATTCTCATATTCCCTTTTAATGATGATGCTTTAATTTCTGTTTAACTTTTTTTAAGATTCTAAGTTTGATGGAATTATCTCTGAGTCAGGAAATATTAAGTGGATTAAACATCAAATCCAACAAGTGGTTGCTCTTAAACATTGGTTACATGTCATAATAAACATCAACATTTAAAAAAATATTTAATCTTGCATGGTGACAGTTCTCTAGCTGTTTGCTCCAGCCTGGACACTGACCATGGAAAATAGATGCATTTCTGTGGTGGGTGCCATACTCCTTGACTATCTTTGTCCAGGGCTTCCTGCACAACCTGTTCCATGATCACACAAATTAACTGGAAAAAAAAACTGCTCTTCCTTGAAATCTTCCACAGTAGCAAGCCCCACAGTTTCTTCACTGTCCTCTTTACTATGGTCTCAGTGAAACCTAACAGACTTCAGGAACCAGGTGATCTGTCTGCCAGAGGAAAACTCAACCATGGTTTGCCTCACTTCTGAGATGCATTATTAAAGACACAGAAGTGAATACAGTCCATCAATCCCTTAAAACATCCCACAAAGTTCCTTGTGATGTTAATGTGAGACCCAACTCCACAGGTCATTCAGGAAGTCTGAGCAAAACCAAACCCAGGTGTGAAACATCTTATTATCGTCTGTCTGTCTTTCAGAAAGCTGAATGCATAACCTTTGCCCAAGCACAGGAGCTTGGCCAGCATTGATCTTAGGCACAGCCAGATTTTGCCGTTGTCTGAAAGCCCCCGTTTCCATATGGTTGCCAAAAGATGCTTCAGTGGAAGTGGGAAATTACCTCCTAAAGCCATCTTCTTGTTGATGCTGAGCTGGTTTGGAACTCAGGAGCTCTAACACTGATTTGTCTCAGATCATCTTTGTTCTCCTAAATAAGTGTTTAAATAGCACTGGAAGATGACATAAGCCACCATCAACACCCCTTGCTAAATTTTGGGTTCTGCAACGGCAGAGAAAAGCATAAAGTTTTTAGGAACAACTGGCCCAAATACACCAAAACTCTATTAAAATCTTTACTTTTTCACTCTCTGTATCGAGAACTGATGTAGCTTTATCCAACAGCAAAGTATGAGGCTGTCTAATCAGGGTATGAGCTATAGCGATACACTGTTTCTGACCACCAGACAGCTGAGCTATTTTGTCTCTAACTCTGGTGGTGTATTTCTGTAAACAGGATTGTATTTTCATGAGATAATAATAAATAAAGCCCAGGCATGCAATTTTCTCGTGGAGATTAAGAATGATAGAAAAATTTAGGTTCAGAAGCTAAGAATGTCTTCATAGGGAACTAAACAACCACAAAAGCTCCACATGGTTTGTTTTCATCTGTTTTAGTGTAAATACCTAGAACGTTTGTAAATAAGGATATTGTTGTGATACCATTACCTTCCAGTTTTGCTTTCATTTTATTTGGGACCAAGAGAGGGAAAGGAAAGGAAATTCGATATGAAATAATTGAAGTTAATCTTATTTCTAACCAGCAGGAAGAGCCCACTGCATATTCTTAAGGTGAGGAAAGAAAAATTCTTTGCACATAGCTTTTTGATGGATACCAAGGAATTCTAGTTTCATATCTAACTTTTAACTAATGTATCTTTTCAAAATATTTTGGCTTTAGCATTCTTCCAAAATCTTCTCAATTATTTCCCAGGGCAGACAATTGTCACTTTCAGTGACAGTATGATGATAGGAACAGGAGTTGGAGAGTATACCAAAGAAGACATGGAATATGACATGTGTAACCAGAAAACAGTATTCCTTTAATATTTTGAGACCCTTGTCTAACTGAATTTGATTTCAGTTGCAAAATTCATATTCTGTATAAGGTTGTCATATTTAATCACTCTATCTGTCACCCTAAATCTATGAAGCTCAGAACAAGGCACCCCTTTGTGGATAGAGTGGGAAGAACCTTAGGTAGTTTGGCAGATGCATTGGCCTGGCTCCACCCTGCACAATGGAAGGTAGATATTGAAGTATGGCTCCTGTGCTTACTTATAGTATAGGATTACTAGGCTTTAGTGAAACAGAATGGGTCTTAGAAAATCCACATTTGCAACGAATTTCTTTGTGCCTCACTAAGAATGGGGATCAGTGTTTTGAGCACGTAATGTTCAATATCAAGAAAAATCAGTTATCCACAGACTGTTGAAGAACAGGATTGGGGAAAGGCCTCTTCCCTGCAGCCTGTTCTTAAGAGTACTTTTCTTGAACAGGAGCCTAAATGAGAGGGAAATCTTGGAAAGAGGTAGGCCACCTGATCGTGCCATACTTCTCCATAAGCTGATTGCCATCCTTGCTGGTCTTAGATAGCAAAGCTTTGTTGTACAGGGATGGATAAGCAGTTGATGATGGGAAGTGTAGATTAGCTAGGTAGACATGCATTCTAACACAGGACCTAAGAGAGCTTTCACTAATGTAATTTTCTAGAGTGACTAAGAGAATGCACACAGGAAATATAGATAAGATTTCAACAATCAATGCTACAAATGGAGCTCAAAGTTTACAAAAGGTACAATGATTAGAAATTACACAATATCATAGTTGTTCCAAAGGCACAGCCCCATTAGGACAGAGCTGTCTTTTTGACATGGGTCCGTCTAGCTGCCTAGCCAGTCCATATTCTCGAGTGAGCTTTGAAGTCTGCAAGAGAGCTGAAGAGTGGCAGAAGGAAGAGAACAGAGAAAGAGACATATGGAAGGAAGGTCATGCCTGCCTCCTTGGCAGGACCAGAATCAGCGGGTGGTCAGGTGAAGGTCTAGAATGCTTGTATTTCAGCTTGGTAAAAGGGGCTTCCACGTGTTGCACTAATCCCTAGGCCAGAAGTAGTTGGAGCTGAAAAATTACTCGGATTCTCCTTTCCTGCAAAGTTTACCCTTGAATAGATCTAATATTTTCATTGCTTCCTTACAAGACTATCACATTATCAGGTTACCATAACCACTGACAGTAAATAAGAAGTTAGGTAGATGCTTTCTTGCCGGTAAAATAGATTTTAGTTATTATTTTTCTCTTCACATTTGTGAAAACTAATTTTTAGAAATCATTTGATAGGCTTGGCAAAACAGCTCAGTTGGCAGAGTGCCTGCTAGTATGTATGAGGTACTGTAGTCTATCTAATGATAAGCTGGGACTGCCTACATGCTCTGGACTCTTAATTTCCAGAGACTCTTAATTTCCATCAAGCAGTGAGTCAATGAACTTGGCCTCCTTGGCTGCCCTCATGATCTCGTCCTGGGACATATTCTGGCTGTTGTCTCCATAGGCGATGTTCTCAGCAATGCTGCAGTCAAATAGGACAGGCTCCTGCTCGGAGCCATTGCACATTCAGTTGATTTATTTCCTTGCCATCCAGAAGCTACAAATAAGAATTTGGAGATCAACTTCAGGACCAGAATACTTTTGAATTATAAAAATCAATGTCACAAATTCATACATCAAAACTGCTGAGTTACCATGAGATTCAAAATGTTTTGTTCATTTTACTCTGGATTTCCAAGGTTCATCTAACAATAGAACAATTGTACACCATGTTTCCCAGATATCAATACAGGTTTAAGATCCATGTTCTAGGAGGCAGAATAAATCTTCTCTTCCCTAAAAGTAATCATGACCTAATCTCAGAAAATTGTGAATATTTCATGCTATATGTTAAGGAAAGGAGCAAGTAGAATTAAGGTTACTAAACAGCTAACCTTAAAATAAGAAATTTTCCTAGATTATCTTGCTTAGGGCAGAGCAGTCCTATGAGATTTTAACTGTGGAAGGGGAAGGCAGGAAACAGCGCAATACTGTGCACTATGAGAAGACTTGTCCAGCTGGTGCTGGCTTTGTAGATAGAGGAAAGGAAAAGGCAGGAAAATGGATTATACTTTGGAGTTCTGAGGTAGAACAGTTCAGGCACCTTGATAATAACCTGGAGAGACTTCCTTTGGACTTCTAATCTACATAGCTATAATAAATTTGGGTTGTTGTGTCTAAATGTATGCTACACTGTTATAGCAACCACAGGAAAACTAATGCAATGTCTCATTCTCTTCACCACATTTCACACAAAAAGTGTGCAGGATGGAAGTGGAAGTAAAAAATAACCATGAGCACACTATAGTTTTGAGGTCAAGGTTCTGATCTGACTTGTATTTGAGAATCAGATGTAATAGCTAAGTGGGAAACAGTGCTCATGGGAGGGTGGGTGCTGTATCCCCCTGTAGATAATTTTGGGAAAGAGAATTAATTTCTACAACTTACTTTCCTCGGGCTGAACAAGAGAACAACAATTCCTAAACTCACAGAATTGAGAACAAGATGAGATGACAGAATTGTTTCATGGCCTGTGCCAGATACAGCTGAAGTACACAAGGGCGGACAGCAATTTCTAATGTGTGTGTGTGTGTGTGTGTGTGTGTGTGTGTGTGTGTGTGTGATGTACTTGGGACTACAGAAGATGGAGACAAATGCATGAAAGGATACTTGGGGCTGGGAAGGTGGCTCAGTGGTAGAGCGCTTGCCTTGCATGCATGAGGCCCTGGGTTCGATTCCTTAGCACCACATAAGCAAAAAGAAAAAAGCCGGAAGTGGTGCTGTGGCTCAAGTGGTAGAGCGCTCGCCTTGAGCTGAAGAGCTGAGGGACAGTGCCCAGGCCCAGAGTTCAGGCCCCCACCACCAGACCCAAAAAAAAAAAAAAAGAAAGGATACTTGTCATCTTCAATAGGGAAGGAGAGCCTGCCCTTTTCTAGTAACAGACTTTCTAGATCAGCCTGCAGAAGATAGACAGAAGAGCCTATTATCTCCTTGCTGATGAAAAGCCTTACTCTCTGCAGGAGAGTCTTTGTTCCTGCAGGAGGAGAATCTTCTATCATTTCAGTAAGAGAGGTGATCATGCCTTCTGAAGCAAACCCCAGTGACTGGATTCAGCTTTTCTAATAGTGGGGATAAGGGTGTGCCTATCCACATACACTCTTGTCACCTGTATTTGGCTGGGAGCTCTGGCCACAGTGAGGTTGATGCACAAATACTGCTCTCCTGTGTGTGAAGCGGGCAGGTGCTGGGATGAATAGTCTTGACTTGTATCAAGTCAAGTTTCCATGGAAATTACTCTGAGGATCTATGATCTAAGCTTCCTAACAGTGTTAAATGGGTGAGGGTGGAAAACCGAAGATAGATAGAAGCAGCAAAGCTGTACCAAGGTCATGCCAAAGGTGGCAGTGCAGGCTTATAATTCCAGCATTTGCAAGGCTCAGTCAGCAGATCTGCAGTTTGATGCTTAGCCTCAGCTACATAGTAAGTTCTAAGCCATCCTGGGCTACCTAAATTCCCTGTGTCAATGAACCAGCAATGACAAAACTATTTATGGATAAACAGCAGACCTTGTTAGATGGAGTACTATACTTTAAAATGAAAAAAAGTCAAAGTTAGTAGAGTTAGGTGGTGACACACACATGTGATCCTAGAATTTGGGAGGCTGGCTCATAAGATCAAGGCCAGGCTGGTATTCGTAGTAAGATTCTGTCTCAAAAAAAAAATAAAACAAAAGCAAACAAACAAAAATCCCCAACAGATTTTCTGGACTTATTTTATTTCTAATACAACAATAAGGAGAATTGAAGGATTCTATATGTTTTAATGAATTTCTTCATTGTACTGAATACAATGACACTTTGGAGAGTTTCATCCTTACATACCACAATAGACTGGCAAATTATTTAAATATTTCTCTCTCTCTCTCTCTCTCTCTCTCTCTCTCCCCCTCCCCCCCATCATGGGGCTTGAACTCTGGGCCTAGGTGCTGTCCCTCAGTTCTTCAGCTCAAGGCTAGTCCTCTACCACTTGAGCCACTGCACCACTTCCAGTTTTCTGAGTTGTTTACTGGAGATAAGAGTCTCATGTTCTTTCCTGGGCTGGCTTTGAACAGTGATCCTCAGATCTCAGCCTCCAGAGTAGCTAGGATTACAGGCGTGAGCCACCAGTGCCCAGCTAAATCTCCTTTTTAAGAAACTATGTCCAGAAGCTCCGAATGTAAGAGAGATCACACCATAGCCATGTTGGCTGATGCATAGCATGTGCTGTGAAAACTGCTCAACAGATTCTCGACTAAATAAACTCATAGCTCAGAAGGTGAACTGTGGTAAGGAACAATGTAAAGGTGAAGCAAAGTGAATCGTCTGTCTTGCAGGTTTTAAAGCTTCTGCTTGTTTCTATCAGCAGAAATAACTAATGCTGGGGCCATATTATTCTGTGTATGTATTGTGAAATATAATAAAATAGAAATACCAGACACGAATAATATTGCAGGCTCTGTTATAAGCAAGCATGTCTCACACATTCTCTCAAAAACTCTTAAGAGTTATCTTTGATTTTAAAGCCACAGATAATAAAAGGCCAAACAGTAATCAAGAGAACTATACTTGTGCATATACTGGTATACAAATATTTTGTATTAGAAAAATAGTGTCTGTTCTTTCTTAAATAGAGAATGTCCCCACTTTGGCCAAGCACCTACTGACAAGATTATAACAGGATAGTGACAATAAACTTTCTAACTGTATCTTAAAAGACATGAAGGACTCCAACTATGGCGCATAGCACAGACCAGAGAGAGGAGAAAGGCAAAGTCAGGTGGAAAATCAAGCTAATAAAAGTTAGGCATCAAGGACCTTGAAGTGCATGGAAAATCTGAGACTTGAGCAGTGCTAGAAAATAAAAGGCAGATCAGAATCTTTAAGTTTCTACTTTTTAGAGTTCACTGTGATTTTTTTCTTTTGAGATAAACACTTGTTTTACTTTGCACAGAATACCAGTTGTAACTATTTGATTTTATAACTGTCTATAAGATATTTGGATCATATTCATATCTTTTAAATTTACAGCTAGCCCCACTTTTCCTCCTCGTGGTCTCCTTTCTCTTCTCTGAAATTTCCCCTCTATTTTATTTTTATTTTAAGTTCTGCATTTGAGAGAAAACATATGATACTTTTTTAACATGTCTATATATGTATGCATGTATATATAATGGTAAGTATCATGTGGATATATATTCATAAAGATATAAAGACAAGTATCATATATATAGATATAATGACATCTATCTATCTATCTATCAAATTTTCCTTATCCATCCATTGTTAAGTACCTTGCATGATTCCATGACTTGTCTATTCTAAATGATTCCATAACTACCATGGACATGTAGACATTTCTATCTTTTACCTAATTTTAAATTCTAATTTTTTTTGTTTAAATAGGATCCATAAAACTTTGTAAACCTTCCATGCTTTTGGTCAAATGATGTTCAAACCCACTGACTTACTTTTACAAAGCATTAGGAACCAATTGGTAGTCATCTACTAATTACTGTAGATGTTTTTGCTAAGAAGTCTAATGATCATATACCACTTGGCATGATTAGAAGCTGTAGAGCAAATACATGGAAGTCAAAAATGCATTTTCTTGAATAATTGAGAACATGTTGCTTTTCATGCACCATTCAGTTATTTCTGCCCTATTCAGTCAACATTCGTTTTCATATTCTATCTATCTGTCTTCCCATATGTCAGTGAACTAAAAAGCTGAAAACTCTCCGGGACCCTCTTGATCCTTTAAGTAAGTTGTATTGCATGAGTGAAATGCATCTTGCAAAATATGAGAGGCAGATGCCCATTCCTCTTTGGCGGTGGTGGTAAGCAAAGCTGGATTTTTTGGTAGATTGCAGTGTTTGTAACAGAGACCCTAGTTTTGTTCCAAAGAGTAAGCACTTAATTCTTTTTATTAAATAGTCACCTATTTGAATTATACAGGATGATTCTTGTTTCCAACACTGAATGTAAGTGATATTCTCCACGTCTTGTTCTTCTTTCCTAATAAGCACAAATCCTTCTCCTCTTGTATAGTAATTTTACTATTTAGCATCATTTTCAACACCAACATTTTACTATTACCAGTGTTTTTCCAGGAAAGTGACTGGATGTCTAAGGGTCTGTGAGATTTTTAAACTTTTCATGGGTTATAATCAGAAAGCCTTGAAATTTTCTATTTCACCTAACTTGCCTCTTCGCTCTCCTGGAATCAAATGACTTATCAGCCACAGCCACATTTCCTCTGAAAGACCCTCAACTCTTTGTACATATGCAAACCTTATTTATCTCCTAAGAACTAGCTTTAATGAAGGACACATGTTTTCTGTCACATGTGGAAGTTAAGTCTAGTTTATAAATAAACCTATATATGTAAATCTATACATATGTGCATAAATGTATTAACTGAAGTATAGTATATGCGTGGGAGAAATCAAGTGGTGTAACTCCTTTGAACAATGAACTCATAGTCTAAAAACATTGAATACAGGAAGCTGGTACTTATGGAGGAGATCAAGGGGATTGGAATAGAGAGAGAAGAATGTGAAGAGAATGCAGCCATTAATCTTCAGTGTATGTCTTATGAAACTAGGAAAATTGAGGGTATGGGTAGGGTTGGGGAGAGAAGGGGGGAAGAATGAAAGAGTGGTATTTATTGAGATGCATTGTACTCATAAACTGACATGTTGAATTGAATTTGTACAACGACTTAAAGAAAATAAAAAGATTTTTTTAAAAGAACCAGCTCTACGCTCACTTGCTTACTCTCATGCATGGTTGTACATACCTCATCTCCTCAGTTGATGTCTTGAGAGCAGACACCATGCCCTGCCCCGCCTCTTGTTTAAAGAAGTCTGTTCAGGACCTGCATCAGGGTTTGAGAGTAAACATTTTCTCCTCTAATTGCTTCCAATGTCAGCAAGGACTTTATTTCGAGGCCATGTTCAAACCACAAAATGGAAGCATAAACACAGAGTTTGCAGGCAGTGTAGAAACAAGGAATCATAAATAAGGAACAAAACTTGAGTTACTATAAAAGGCATAAACTGTCTGTAAACACAGTGCATTTTTTCTAAGACTAGAGATGCAGTTCAGTGGGAGAGCTCTTGTGCAAGGCTCTGAGTTCATTCACTGCAAAAAATAACTGAGTAACAGAAATTCATTGCTGCACAAAAGATCTTCGACAGTTGGTTGAAATTTTTCTCATGTCTGGTATCTGTGCACCTAGGGTCCTTATGGAGCTTGTAGGCCTCAGTTTGCCTACAGCACCACAGGTGATAGACATTTTGAATATCAACTCTAAATAAAAGCAACAACTAAATGCCTGCACAATGGAAAGTCCTACTCTAAATCTACTTCTTCCTACTCTGGCTTTTCCTATCCTCCCCTGTAGTCAACTTCAACTTAACTAATCCCAACTTCTATCTCATGTCCAGCCCCTAAGAAGAACTCAAAACTTTGCTGATACGTAATTCTGGATTTTCCCTCATCATGTAACCCCAGGAGACAAAAAGTATTCATTTGTATTCTTTATTGACTTCCTAGTCTACCTTACTATCTTATTTTGAAAAGTGTTTCAATGCCTTTACACCATCAGTGTCTCATCCTCAAACAAAAATGCTCCAAATTCTCTTTTCTAAATATACCTCCTAGATCCTATCTCCCCATGGGAGATGCTGGTCTTGTCTCTTTCACCTTTGACCTTCTTCAAGGTTTATGCCTACTTGAATCTCTATGTCCCCCCCTACCCTCCATGAACCACACTAAAGTGATTTCTGCCACCATCATTCTACAGAGACTAAAAATGTCAGAGATTGTCCATTAACTGCTAGATCCATGTCTCTCAGTCTTCGTTTTATGCAATCAGCATTTGTTCTTGCTAACTCACCTGCTGCTTAGCTTTCTTCTCACTTGTGTCTCCTAGAATCCTCACTGTATCTTTCTAGTTGCTTCAGTTTTGGCTGAATCTTCTCAAGCAGCTGAAATCCAACCCCACAAGGGAGATGAGTGGTGTGAAGTGTAGTTACAGAGGAGGGCAGAGAGGCAGTGTTGAGGCAGAAGTTGGAGAAAGCTGCTGCAACAGGTAAAGCTTGGACACCAAACCTGGGCTTCCACGACTTTACCTAAGAGGAACTAGAGCTAAGAGGCTTGAAAGTTGTGACGTGATAAGGAGACTAAAGCACAGATGATGAAAACCTGAAAGGAACGGAGTAAGAAAGCATGTTCAGGTCTGTCCGCGGGTGCCATGATGGCAGATGTGGCCTGTCTGGAGCTCCTGGGCTCCAGTCTTATCATCCTGTCCCAGCTGTTCATGTAGGTGAAAGTGCTCATCCAGGTGAGAGATGAGCCTCTTCCTCCAACAATAGGATGAAATATTTTGGGGCGGCAAGTATGTCAGCTTCCTGGGCTCTTTTGTTATGCTCAGCACATTGCAAGCATTGATGGGAAGCGTTGCTTGTTCACAGGCTTAACTCCAAGACTGTGTTCAGGAATCCTTGGAACTGTGGTCCATAATCAAGTTTTACAGCGCTATCAAGACCTGGACAAACCTGAGGAGTCAGGAATTGGAAGTTTCCATAGAGAAGGCTCATGTTCTTTTGGCCAAATTATCAAAGAGACAACTCAAGAGATGACCGCTCATTCTACTGCTACCTCATTTACACATCCCTTCCGTGTGATCACTCTGAGATCTATGATACAATTCATTGGCAGAGAATCGAAATATTGTGGACTGTGTGACTCCACGTTAACCATCTATCAGGAAGAGGTCATACTGGGGTTTTTTGCGGGTCTCATTCCTCGCCTTCTAGGTGACGTCATTTCTCTGTGGCTCTGTAACTCCGTGGCCTACCTCATCAACACCTATGCACTGGACAGTGGGGTTTCTACCATGAATGAAATGAAAAGTTATTCCCAAGACGTCTCAGGATTCTTTGCCGGTGTGTTGACCTATCCCTTTGTGCTTGCATCTAATCTTATGACTGTCAACAACCACAGGCTTGCTGGTGGATCCCTTCCTTACTCTCCACTGTATACTTTTTGGGTAGATTGCTGGTACATGCTGCAAAAAGAGGGAAATATGAGCCGAGGAAATACCTTGTTTTTCCAGAAGGTCTCCTGTAGGAAGACTTATTGTTATGACCTGAGAATGTTAATTTGAAGATGTGGGGCAGGGACAGTGATATTTCTATAGTCCCACATGCACAGAATTATGGGAATGTTGACTTCTATAGAGTGTGGCATGGTTTTTAAATAATCATTTAATCTTGGGAAAATGAAAAAAAAAAAGAAGAAGAAAGCTTGTTCACCACTGAGCGAGCCAATGGGTCATAGAAGCGCTCCAGGAGCTGCACCACTGTGCTCTTCCCACAGCCGCTGCTGCCCACCAGAGCCAACGTCTGGCCCTTCTTTACCTGCAGACTCAGTCCCTGAAGCACTGGGATGTCTGGCCAGGTGGGATAGTTGAACTTCACTTCATTAAAGGTCACATTTTCCTTCCAACACCTTCTAAAATGAGAAGAGAAACAGTATCAAACACAAGTTGGATTACTTCAGCACTAGAAGCACAGAGTAGGACTAACCCTACTGTTGAAGAAGTGGATTTGTCTTCCTTATCCAGGCTGGGCTTGTGACACAGTTTGGTCCATAGGATGTGGTGAATGTTACTTTTGATTTCATGCTGATGATACAGATTGTCCTCCCACCCCTCTCTTCCTCTGTCTCTTTCAAAATAGGAAATGGTTCATGACAGCTCAGATGCACGCTATACTAACCAGATGGGGAGAATTGAACCATATATTTGGGGCAAAATAAATGTTTGTTATTCAGTGCTACTGAGGCTTACTGGCTGGGTGTTACACAATATTATGGGGAAATTGACAGTGAATATACTATGTGGTGATGGAATGTCATCATATTCTTAGAAAACCTGTGAGCCACCTACTAATTATGCTGTATGACCAAATCAGGAAGCACATGAGATCATACACACTTTTCACTACCACATGTTTACGTACTTTTGTATATTTAGTTCAGGTTCCTCTTCTCCAACTGAAGAACCATTTTCTATAAGCACAACATTGTAACAGAAAAAAGCACAAATTCACTTTTCCTATCTCATTAAAATTTTTTTATTATTATTATAAACTTGATATACATAGAGGTTCCAGTTACATAAGTCAGATAAAGAAAACATTTCTTTTTTGGCAATGTTAACCCTTTGTCATTTCTTAACTTTTCCACTGTTACTTTGCAAGTACTCTTTTATCAAGGAAGAGATTGTTTATCCAGCCATCTCTCAGGGTTTGTACAAGTGAGCAAATCACTTCTCTACCTTAACTGCTTGTAGGTAAGCCTTTACAAAGACCCACCAGACTTCTTGCTCTGAGTTAGGCTTCTTCCCAGTGTCAAGGCCTTGTGCAGACCTCTGAATTGACTCGTCCCTCCCAGCCACACATAGGAAAAGGTCAGATAGTGAGTCAGCACTGGGAAAAAGAGAAGTTTATTGATGAAAGTCAGTGTCTCAAGGATGACATACAAAACCTTGGAGGCAAAAATGCCAGTTGCTCAATCAGCAGGATCATAACGGGTTCAATTAAGACATAAATCATGTGAATCCCTTCTTTAGTTTTGCTTTGCAAACATTAACCCAGTACTTACAACAGAGCATTTTCACATCCCATCACTTCACATGCCACAAGTAGGTAACAAACTAGAAACATGCAGCATAGGAAAACTGCATAATTACCCGAGTGAAGGAGAACGTGATTTCAATATGTGTGCTTTCTTCAAAGCATTTCTATAAAAAAGACATTTGAAAACTTATTCCACTTTCATAGTCCTCTCCCCCCCATTCCTTCTTTTTTTTTTAACCAATACTGGGGCTTAGACTCAGTGTATTGTGCTTTTATTTGTCTCTTTTTGCTCAAGAATGGTACTCTACCACTTAGCCACACTCTCACTTCCAGCTTTTTGCTGGTGAATTAGAGGTAAGAGTCTCTTGGACTTTTCTGTTCAGCTGGCTTCAAACTGCAATACTCAGATCTTAGCCTTTTGATTTAGCTGGGATTTCAGGTGTGAGACACAGAGTCTAGCTTTCATTTCTTAGTTTTTAAAAGGTAATTGGATAGGTCAGCAGAGGGGAACAGAAGAGCAACCATAAAGGGACATAGCAAAGGCAGTACTCAGAGGAAAATTTATAGCTCTGAATTCCTACATCAACAAATTGAAGAAATCTCAGACCAACAATTTAATGATATACATGAAGCTCCTTGAAAAAGAGCAAAAAGGCAAACCCCAATCCAATAGGCAGAAACAAATAATTAAAATCAAATCATAATTAAACGAATTAAGAGTCCAAAGGACCATAGAAAGAATCAACAAAACCAAGAGTTGATTCTTCAAAAAAAATTAACAAAATTGACAGACCCTTAGCAAGTAGTGGGCAGCAAGTAGTAAGAGAGGTGGGGAAGGGAAGGAGAATAGTAGGAGAAAAACAAAGGAGGGGATAATAATGAACAAGAAATATATTCATTATATTACTCATGTAACTGCAACCTCTTTGTATAGCATCTTAACAATAAAATTAAATTAAAAATAATCAGAGATGAGAATGGAAACATCACCATAGAAACAACCAAGATTTAGAACCTTATAAGGAAATACTTCTCAAACTTTTATTCTAACAAATTTGAGAATCTGGAAGAAATGGAAGAATTTCTGGCAAATATTGAAATGCCAAAACTAAGTCAAGAAGATTTAAACCAACTAAACAGACCCATATCAAGCATTGAAATAGAAACAACAGTAAGAGTCCTCTAAAAAAAGACCAGGACCAGATGGATTTACATCTGAATTCTACAAGGTCTTCAAAGCAGAACTCACACCAATACTCCAAATCTTCAATGAAATTGTAGGTGAATGATCACTACTGAACTCTTTTTATGAAGCCAGCATAACCCTCATTTCAAAACCAGACAGGAACTCATCAAAGGAAAAAAAAAACTACATACCCATTTCTTTGGTGAGCATCAATGCAAACCTTCTCAACAAAATTCTGGCCAATCAACTTCAACAATTCACCAAAAAAATTCTATGATCAAAAAGGATTCATTTCGGGAATGCAAAGCTGGTTCAATATATACAAGTCAATTAATGTAATTCATCACATCAACAAGAGCAAGGAGCTCATGTAACTGTAACCCCTCTGTACAGTATCTTTACAATAAAAAAAAAACAAGAACAAGGTTAAGAACCACATGATCATCTCAATAAATGAGAAAAAGCATTTGACAAGATCCAACACCCCTTTATGATGAAAGCTCTGGAGAAACTAGGAATTCAGGGAACATTCCTCAATATAATAAAGGCTGTGTATGACAAATCTACCACTAGCATTTTCACTTAATGGTGAAAATCTAAAGCCATTTCCTCTAAATTCAGGAACAAGACAAGGATATTCATTCTCTCCACTCCCCTTCAACATAGTATTAGAATGCCTACCTAGAGCAATAAGGCAAGATGCAAAAACATAAAGGTGATATAAATAAGGAAAGATGAAGTAAAACTCTCCCTCTTAGCAGATGACATGATTTTGTATTTAAAGACCACCATGGACTCCACTCCCAAGTTACTCAAGCTAATCCAAAACTTTGGTAAAGTAGCAGGGTATAAAATTAACCCTCAAAAATCAATGGCTTTTGTGTATGCCAATAATAAGAAGAGCACGGCTGAAATCAGGAAATCAACTCCTTTTGTAATAGTCCTCCCCAAATAAAATACCTAGGTATTAACCATAAAAGTGAAGGATTTCTATGATGAAAACCTTAAAAACCTGGAAAAGGAAATTAAAGCAGAACTAAGGAAGTGGAAAGACCTCTCATGCTCCTGGAATGGGAGGATTGACATCGTGTAAATGGCAATACTTCCAAGGGCTATCTACAAATTCAATGCAATACCCATCAATATCCCAACTTCTTTCTTCAATAAAATAGAAGAAGCAATCCAAAAATTCATATGGAGCAATAAAAGACCCAGAATAGCAGAAAGAACAGTGCTTTCTGTAAGGTCCGCTCCTGGATGGCTAGCAGACTCCACCCTCCTCGCAGCAAAGTCTCCACCCAGTACCTGCGTTACCTAGGCAACTGGGACACCTGGAAGAGGTCACATCTGCATCCGCTGAGGTCACATCCGAATTTGATGTGGCCACACCTTTCCCCGCCCATACCCTACATAAGGCCTAGTCCAGGCCCAGACGCTCTCTTGCTCTTGCTCTTCTTTTCTGCTCTCACTCACCCTCTTGCTCTTGCTGCTCTTTTCTTGCTCTCTCTGTTCTTTACTTGCTCTCTTTCCCAGCCACGTGGAGTGCAAACCTTGCCTGGTCCCAGCAGGTCTACCCCTTACCTGAATACCACGTGAGTGCTACTGTTCTTACCCCTCTCTCTGCTCTTTTCTGGCTCTTTTCTCTCTCTTTCCTCTCTTCCCAGCTCTCTCTCATTCCCAGGCCTTTCCCAGCCACGTGGAGTGCCAACCTTGCCTGGTCCCAGCAGGTCTACTGAATAAACCTACCCCTTACCTGAATACCACGTGCGTGCTGGTGCTGTTCTTACTCGGCCACCTCTTTTTAAAAACCTAACACTTTCCTTAGCAGAAAGAACAGTGCTGGAGGAATATCAGTACCAAATGTCAAACTCTACCACAAGGCCATAGTAATCAAAACAGCTTGGTACTGGCACAAGAACAGACCTGAGGACCAATGGAATAGAACTGAAAACCCAGAAATGAACCCGTAGACCTATAGCTATTTAATCTTCAATAAGGGAGCCAAAAAAATGGGATGGAAGAAAGACAGCTCCTTCAGTATATGGTGCTGGCAAAATTGGCTAACCACCTGTAGAAAACTAAAGTTAGATCCTTATATATCACTGAACCAGAATCAAATCCAAATGGATTCAAAGATCTTGAAGTACACCTGAAAACATTACAGCCACAGGCTGAAATTTTCTTAATAACAACCCAGGAACACAACAAATCAAAGGTTAGACAAATGGGATTGCATTAATCTGTAGAGCTTTTGCATGGAAAAGGACATAGCTAGCAAGATCAATAGAAAGCACAGAGATTGGGAGAAGATCTTCACTAGCCATACAACGGACAAGAGCCTCATATCTAAAATATACTTAGTACTCAAAAAATTAAATTCCTCAAAAACAAATCCTCAAAGAAACAATTGTCCCATTAATAAATGGGCTAAAGACTTAAAGAGAGACTCCTTGAAGAGGAAGTAAGAATGGCCAATGGACACATGAATGAAGAAATGCTCAATATCTCTGGCAATAAAAGAAATGCAGATCAAAACAAGATTGAGATTCTACCTTACCCAAGTTAGAATGGCTATAATCAAGAACTTTAATCACAACAGATGCTGGAGGGGATATGGCCAAAACGAATCCCTACTGCATTGTTGGTGAGTGTAAACTTATTCAACCACAAGAGCTCCCCTGGGACCCAGCAATCTCACTTCTGGGCATTTACCTCAATGATCACAAGCAAGGCCATACTAAAGCTACCAGCACAACTTTGTTTATCACAGCATTATTCTCTATAGCTAAGATATGGAACCAAGCCAGATGCCCCTGAATAAATGAATGGATTGAGAAAATTTGGTGTGTGTGTGTGTGTGTGTGTGTGTGTGTATGAATTCTATGGTTCCATCAAAAATGGCACCACCACATTTGTAAAGAAATGGAAAGACTTAGAAAGAAAATCATATTAAGTGAAGCAAGCCAGACCCAAAGAAACATAGGTCCCATGGTTTCCCTTATTTGCAATAATTAGTTACATCTAGGATACTCTTATCAGATGAGCAGAATAGCTCAATAGCTATGTATACATGACCATATAAGATGATGCTAAGCAAAATGAATTCCAAGAACTCAGAACAAGAGGTTTTTTCTTTGCTGCTGTTTTTTTTTTAATGTACCATGTGGTTATTTCTTTTGTTCTTCCCCCTCTGGTATATCCTCTGTTGTTACTGTATTTGATTTTGGTACCCTGGTATTGTATATACATTTATTTGAATTAGGGAAGGGAAACAACAGAATGGTGAGACAAAAGACAAGGAGGAACCAATGCAACAGCAGTATTCATAAGACAATATGTTGGAAACGATCTGTATAACTTGGGGAGGGGGTAAAGGAGACGAATGAGGGAAGGGGTAACAAGTTTGACAAGAAATGTACTTATTACCTTACTTATGTAACTATAACCCCCCCACCCCCGTACATCACCTTGACAATCAAAAACTGTAATTGGATAGATTGGCAGAGGGGCACAGAAGAGCAACTACAAAAATGAACTTAATGTCTAAAGGAATGCATTAGCTCCTCCTTTTACTTCCCAGTCACAGGAATTTAAGAAACTACCTCATCTAGATGTTCCTCATCTTTAATGTAGGATTAATTGCCTCTCAATGTACTGGTATAAAGATAAATTAAGCCTGTGAACTTTGTACAGAGTCTGTTAAAGATTAACAAATGAATGTTCCCTCTCTTCTCCCAACTATTGAATAGAGATGCATGTTCTCTAGCAATCATTCCTCATGTTTGCCCAGCACTCACGAGTACACAGACCATGTGGCTAGCACAGGGCATGGCTCTGACTTCGGGGATCTCAGGGCTCTGTTGGGTCATTATTTATACATTGGAGAAACCACACCAAAGATGTGCTACAAGTTCCCCTCAGAGATGTTCCTGCCTGAGTGTGAGTGTCCCATTTATCTCAAGGTTAATTACAACTGCTTCTCAGTTGGATGCTTCCTGGTACTCTCTCTACTCACTCTACTTCCTAGTCAAAATTATCCCTTTGAAAGCATATATGGTGGTTGAAACATTTCTCATATTCCTGTCTCACTTCTCACAGCTTCTTACCTGTATAGTACCTGCAAACACTGTTCATACATCTTTTCAAACTTTTGCTCCTGAGTCAAAGAAACTACAGTTCACAAGTTATCTTTTTTTTTAAATAAGTTTCTTATTGTAAACATACTGTACAGATGGGTTACAGTTACATGAGCAGGGTAATGAGTACATTTCTTATCAAGCATTGTTGCCTCCTCCTTTGTTTTCCCCCTACCATCCCTTCCCTCCCAGTTTGCAAGTTTTCTATCACTTGCATAGTAATCTGCAATAGACATTATACATGACAAAGATGCCAAAGGGAAAATAGAGACAAAATTAAATATGAATTCTATTAAATAGATTAATAAAACTATGATTACAAGTCACCTATGTGCCATTTAGTATGTATTGTGTGTACCCTCTCCATGGAAAAGTATATTCATTAAATTATCAGACTCAATTTTAGATCTGGAAAAGAAATGAATTAATTCAACCTTCTCTTCTTTAAATGAAATCAAGGCGATCACTTTTCTAAAACCAAATAGCTTTGTATGCATTTGTAAAATTCCATTGGTAGATTTATCTCTTTTTAGACTCTGGGGTTATTTTTAAGAGGTCAGCCAAGTTCAGTTCTGTCCTCCCATTTCTGCAGTCATCTAAAACAGGTGACAATGGAAATACTCTGCCACCAGAAGGCCACTTTGATTTCAGGCAGAACACAACTACCAGAAACACAAATAAGTTTATATGTTGGCTCTAAGAATTAGCTTCTCATCAGCACATTCATTACCTGTGTCTCAGGCTCACCTAAAGGTCTCTATAAGGAACAGAACATTTGCCAAGAAACCTAGTAGATGGCACAGAAGCACTTGTGTGAGAGAATATAGGCAATCTTGTAAAACAAAAACAAAAACAAAACAAAACGAGAATCCAAGGGAGTTTCAGCAGAAAAGGAATAAAAAGATGGTACAATAGAAGGGTAGAATGAATACTGGTGGATTCGTCCTTATCCTCTCCGTCCCATAAAATGGGACCACTTTCTCAATTAAAGGGATTTAAACATCCTTGAAAGACAGAATGAAACAGAAGGAGACATGGTGTAAAGAGAAAAGGAGAAGTTAGAGAGGAAGACGGAAAGAACTGAAAGACAGTAGCCAAGAGGAAGATAAGAGTATATGAAGATGATTAGATCCCAAATTCAAAGGAGACTCCAAGTCACGCAGCTAAAGGAGCGAGGAACTCTTATTTTTATTTATATTTTTTATTTATTGTGAAAATACCGTACAGAGGGTTACATTTTGGCCGGGTGACAGCCGCTTCCCCCTCTAGGGACAGGGGGAAAGGGCCCCAGGTCAGGGTAGGATGGGTTTTTGTAGAGTTAGGTTACACGAACCACCTATGCAAGGCTGGTTTGGCACATTCTCATTGGTTATGGTTATATGACCTTTACATTCATTTGTTCCTTACGGTCACTATCATGCGTAATAATTTGTGGTAGGCTGCCCACCCTGGTGGAACCACTCGGTGGTGGCAGTTTTTAATTGGAGGGTAACGGTGGTGCCGCTTGTGGGCCCAAGGCTTTGTTGTTGAGGTAAGCAAGCAAGGTTACAGAAGCAAAAGATAGCCTTGAGTCACAAGAGCAGAAAAACATGATCTTGACTTGGTCAGCATGACCTATACTGACAATGTTACAGACACTATTGATACTTGATTCCAAAACATACCCTTGGATTACAGAAGTCAAAATACAACCTTAGGTGGAGTAGTCTATTTTACAGAAATGATTTTTTATTATAAGCTCCTGACTAATAGAGCAACTCAGTACAGTTGGTGATAAGCCTCAAGGCTGTCAGTGGCTTCAGCTGCCAGCTTGGTAAACTTGAATGAGGGAGAGATGTTCTTTTGTTTTTTAGCAAGGATGGAAAGGGTCTGTCCAGCATTAGCCTGGAGTTTTCCTTTACCAAGTGGTTTTGCCTTTTTTCAATAATTTAGTTCTGCTTTCTGATTTCAGATTTTTGTTCTCATGGATATCCTTCTTTTCCAAGGAAAAGGGGACTCAGGGAAGAGAGTAAATTTTCAACAGCAGGAGGGACTGAGGCCAGACATTAGGAGGAACTTTCTGCCAGTGAATAGCAACTCAGATATCACAAAGACAATGGCCCAAGTCAGAAAAGTGTATGGAAACCCATCTCCATCTTTGAGCGGAAGGATGTATTACTACTTTCCTTTCATTTCTAATTTGCCAAATAAGCACAGAAAATACTGTCTTGAGGAATGGTTATTAAACCATTCTCAGAGCACAACAAATAGCAAGGAATAACAAAAAATCCTAATGCTGTACTCAGTTTAAACAAGCAATTGTTTTTAGGCTCACCTGCTCCGAACCTTCCAGCATCTGGTTATTTTTCAGAGCTTGTACAGTTAGCATTTTCATCCGAATAATTCCTCCTATTGCCATTATGGGAAAATTGCCAAGGGCAAAAGGGCTAGATGCCAGCCAAGATAAAGGAAATAATAATTCCTGTCCCAAGATTTGCTTATTCTGGGCAAGGAAAGCAAGCTTGGAACCCATTGCCTAGAAAACAAAACAAATTGGAGACATGTATTAATAATATCATTACATTTTATGCTTATATATTCTTAATGATTGACACTGTTCTTTCATGAAATTATTATCTTCATTATTAAATAAGAGTAAAACATTACTTATAAAAAGTTGTAGTTTCCCACAACAAATCAAAGAAAGGTTGGACAAATGGGATTGCATGAAGTTGCAGAGCTTCTGCATGGCAAAGGATATAGCTAGCAAGATCAATAGAAAGCCCACAGATTGGGAGAAGATCTTCACTAGCCATACAACAGGCAAGGATCTCATATCTAAAATATACTTGGAATTCAAAAAAGTAAATCCCTCAACAACAGATCCTCAAAGAAACAATTGCCCAATAAATAAGTGGGCTAAAGACTTAAAGAGAAACTTCTCTGAAGAGGAAAGAAGGATGGCCAATAGACACATGAAGAAATACTCAACCTCCCTAGCCATAAAAGAAATGCAAATCAAAACAACATTGAGCTACCACCTCACCCCAGTTAGAATGGCTAAAATCAAGAACTCTAATAACAACAGATGACAGAGGGGATGTGGACAGAAGGGAACCCTACTGCATTGTTGGTGGGAATGTAAACTTGTTCAACCACTTTGGAAAGCAGTCTGGAGGTTCCTCAAAAGACTCCACATAGAGCTCCCCTATGACCCAGCAATCCCACTTTTGGGCATTTACCCAAATGTTTACAAACAAGACCACACTAAAGCTACTAGCATGACTATGTTTAGTGCAGCATCATTTACCATAGCTAAGATATGGAACCAACCCAGATGCCCCTCAGTAGATGAATGGATCAAGAAAATGTGGTATATACACAATGGAATTCTATGCCTCCTTCAGAAAGAATGACATTGCCCCATTTGTTAGGAAATGGAAAGGCTTGGAAAAAATTATATTAAGTGAAGTAAACCAGGCCCAAAGAAACATAGGTCCCATGGTTTCCCTTATTTGCAATATCTAGTATTTGTCTGAGTCAAGCAGAAAAGGTCAGATAAGGTGATGTTAGGGAAATGAACCCTAAGATATGTATTCAAAATTTTTTTCTTTCATGCTATTGTTTCTAACGCATTTATAAGATTATTTCTTTGTTGCTTTGTATGTCCCTCCCCCACAGTATAACCCCTGCTTTCACTGTATTTGATGTTGGTATAATTTATGGAAGGGAAGGGGAAAAACAAATCGTTTAAATAGAGATACAGGTGGACCCATCACAACAATGAGATGTACAAGTCGTTATGTCGAAAATGAACTTTACAACTTTGGTGGGGGGGGGTGGGAAGACTGGGTGGGGGGACGGGGGGAGGATGGGAAGGGATGGGAAGGGGAAACAAAGGAGGAGGCAACAGTGCTTGATAAGAAATGTACTCATTATCTTGCCCATGTAATTGAAACCCCTCTGAACAGTATTTTCAAATAAAAAAAAGTTGCAGTTTCCAACATGTAAATATCTACAACCTCTAACACACTCAAAGTAAAAGGTTAATAATTGAGAATTCAGTTACATATTCCCTTCATGGAGAGAGGGTTTGGTGTAGTTTGTTGTTTGTGCCGGGACTGGAGATTGAATTTAGGATTATGTGCTCTCACATTTTTTTGAGGCACAGCTGGTGCTCTACCACTTCAGCCACACTTCCAGTTCTTGCTTTTTTGCTAGTTAATTGGGGATAAGAGTCTCTTAGATTTGTCTGCCTGGCTGGCTTTGAACTTTGATCCTAAGAGTCCAGCCTCCTGAGTAGCTAGAACTATGGCTGTAAGTCACCAATACCTGGATATTTTATTTTACTTTATTAACCAAAGAATAGTCACTGAAGCAAGGTATGCAAATTAGCAAAGTAAAAGAGTATATTAATTATATTATAATTGGAATGTGTTCAATGGGAGCCACAGGCTTGATTTCTTTGAGCAACAGTTAGGAATTTTTCTCCTCTGCTGGAAGACCTTAAGAGAGCAACAGTCATGAGGTCATAAGGCATAGTTCCTTCTCTTATCCTAGCCTTTGAAGTTAGAACAAAGACCTCAGATAGCTTTATTTGCAAACCATACACCTTCATGTAAATTGCAGGGCTGGCAACATCCTATAACTAGCTCATGCTCTCTACTTGCCTTCACTTTATGCAAGCGCATACATACATAAATAATCGGAACTAAAGTGTGTGCTGCTTCAATCTCCTAACCTTTGAATGCTGACACCTCACCTGGTCCCAGCTTTCTCTACTATGTGTGATGTGAGTGTGTGTGTGTTTGTCTTTTCCTCAATGCCCTACTGCCTTCCCTCAGAGACAGTTTGATCTGCCTTGTCCACAGCAGGAACGGTGTAAATTGCCAATATTAGGTATGTTACTACTTACAATTCAGCATAAAATTTGTTATTAACCATATTAAATTATATCTGTGCCTATATAAAATTCTTATGATGATTTGATTTGGAAAAAATTGACACATTGGGAAATTATGGAACTTAATTACATTATGAACTTAATTATATTATGAATCTTCAAATTATCAGGTAACTTTCTCAATTCTCAAAATAAGTTAAATAAAAATAAAATAGAAATATTCTAGTTGTCTCAGAACCACATGTCCAGCTGTGTTCTTCTCCTTTCTCTTCAGCCCCTGCTTAGTGACAAGTTTGTGATAAATGCCTTTCTCTCTCATGAGCTGCTCATGATTTCCTTTCTCCACAATGACTCCATCATCAAAGCCAGCAATGACATCAGCACTACTAACTGTAGACAAGCGATGAGCTATCACAATGGTGGTCCGCCCTTCTCTGGCCTAAAGAGGCAAAGATGTGGCTTTTGATCACATTACTCATTACATCTCAAAACTCACCCACCCAACTTATAATTACCAAACACAGATGCTTTGGATATTGTAAAACATCAAAGTAATAAAGATATTCTCTGAATGATAAATAGTCCATTGATAATGATTTCTTGATGTAATAAGTTAAAACACAAATATCACAAGTACATACTGTTAAAATGGTTATTGTAAAGGTACTGTGCAGTGGGGTTGCAGTTGCAGGCAATAAGTATATTTCTTTTTGAACAGTGTCACCTCGTCCCTCGTTTTCTCCGTTTCTCCCTCCTGGCCCATCACTCCCCAGGTTGTATAGTCCATTTCAACATAGTGTCTAGTGAGTACCACTGCTGCATTTGTCAGTCTTTGTCCACCACTTCTGCTCCCTCTCACCCTCACCAAAACAGATAAACTTACAAACAAGACAAAAGATACAGAAATAAACACACAGACAAAAGACAGGAGGGGGGAAAAAAGCAAAACAACAAAAACCTACAAGTACATATTTTAATATTATTTTACACTTCTCTATCCACTTAAACTTAGCAAATGTTTTCAGCCATTGTGTTGGCTAACAACATAGGTTCCTGGCTCACCACACCAGATACCTCACATATATGGTCCTAATGTCCTGTCCATCAATACTGACCTGGAAGTTTAAAACAGGGGTGATTTTCCTTCATTTCTAGCAGACATTCGCACCGGAGTGAGGTGCGGTGGTCCCTGCTGATGGCTGCGGGTCTAACTCACCACGCCCTCTGTGGGATCATAGAGCCTCTGGATCAGCTGCACCGTCCTGCTCTTCCCACAGCCACTGTTCCCAACCAGGGCCACTGTCTGTCCACTCTGCACCTTCAGGTTGAGTCCCTTCAAGATCTACCAAGTTGAGTGAGAAGTAAGATACAGACACAGAGTGTGAACAGATACCTCTTTCCTTTAAAAAAAATCTCGGAGGGAAAGTATCAGAATTCTTCATCAAACAGCTTAATCATTTATCAAATGATTAACTTTGTTTTAAGATGGGTAACTGGAATGAATATTTCTGAATTCCAAATCTCCCTTGATATTATCTTGTTTGTGTCCATTCATCAAAAAGATGTAAATGCTTGCCTTCTGAGGAGAAAAATATTTTAGGAAATTGCTAGCTTACAATAATTTATTTGGAATATGTTATCAAGAGTTAAAGTGATAATGACTGTTATGGGCAAATAGCCATGTGAGGCTTTCATTACCGATGATCTTCAAGACTTCATAAGCTGCTCCTCTGGCATTTGCTAAAGCTTCAATGTATGGGAATTCCTATCCAACGGTAATAGCCCCAAATAATACAGAAAGTGAGACCTGAAGAAAGAGACCAAAACCAAAATAAAATAAACACCTATGTTTGTCTTCACACATGAGTGTGCTCATGTTTACTACAATCTTTCCATACTTGGTTACTTCCAACATAAGCAATTCTATTTTTTAAATGGCAAAAATAAAGGTATAGGGTATTAAAAGCCCTTTCAAGCCATGCACAGGTGGCTTACACTTATAATCCTAACTACTTGGGAGGCTGGGATTAGAAAGATGTGAATTCAAGGCCAGCTCAAGCAAAAAAGTTCATGAGATCCTTAAAAAATAGCTGGGTATGGTGGTATGGTACGCATTTGTCATTCTATCTATGTGTATCAAACTTAGGAAATAATAATTAGCTCCCTTATAATGCGATCAGGGGACACCAAGCCAATTTAGCAGAAGAGGGGGCAAAGGCTTGAAGAGTTTAGAGGATTTGTTCCATATCTTAGAGATGGTAAATATCATAAATGGAATTTGAATCAATAGGCCTGATGTAAAATCCTGCACTCAGTCTTCCAAATGCCTACAGTTTGTGAAACTGACTTTGGGTTCAGAAAGCAATGGATTTAACTGCCAGGGCTAGGGGTGTAGCTCACAGAAAGAGGAGCTTGACAGTGATACATGAGTCCTTAGGCTCAACTCAGCAGCAGCAGCACAATATAGGAAATAAAATAATGAAGTAAAATAAGTTGCTAATCCATGTCAACAGTAAGCCTTGAGAACCTAGGCTCACCCAAAGAAAAATTACTATGTTGTCTTAAAAGAAAAAGTCTTCTATGGGAAAATTATCCTTCCAATTTGAAAGGGGACAGGGCCAGCCATACTGACCTATCAGAAACCCTGGCTGCAGGGTAGGGAAACAAACCAATGTAATAAGGCAATACTGTCAGAACTATTAACTTTCCTCTTGGGAACCAAGCAAGTACTGTAAACAACTGCTCTCCCAGAAAGATCTTTAACCACTGCTCCTTTCCTGCCTGCTCACCAGTCCTTCCACCCCTTGTTGGTGATAGAGTTAAAAAGAAATCAAGAATTGGAGGAGCTTCAGTTAAGCTAGTTGTAGGTAACCTCAAAGCAAACTCATATACTTGGCACACTTGCCTTATTTGTGGGCTAATGACACTGCCCAATAGGGATGCAGATATTTTTGTTATACTTCCCCGGGACAGTCACATAGCAGCTGCTAGGAAGATACATGAGCTTGGTTTACAATTATGTCATTGTCTCTCAAACGAAGTAAGCTAACATCCCATGGCAAGACTGCGTACTCGTACAAAGTTTTACAATGCAGAAGACCTTGAAACTGAATTTTCCTTTAGGATGACTGTTGGCTGTGATGGCTGGCACTCCAGCTGCTCTGGTTCTGCCTGGCTGCCTGAATCTCGGTGGCCCTGACCTGGCTGGCCACCTGGCCTGGTGAGCAAAGACAGCTCCCTTACCATCAATTTCTTGCTCACCCGCGTACCATTAATTTCCCATACGCAATGCAGACTCCCCTTTCCCAACTCCTATAGCTATATTTTTCCTACCTCATTTTACAGGTTCATGGAAGCCTAATAGCAGCCGCCGTGGGATGGAAGTAGCCTGTCAGATTCTCTGACATTAAACCTTTCTTTCCCTGGATATGTGTGGTATGTTTTCTTCAGTCCAGACTTTTAACAATGGCTAAAAGGAATTCTGTTTTATAAACTGTGTGTGGTGGATTGACTGCCATTCAAAAAAACTTCAAAATTGAGTTAAGTTGTGTTTTGTCATTTGTTGTTGAAAGTGGTAAATTGGGAAATAAAAATGAGGCATTTAGTATCAGGTTTCCTCCAAAGACATTTCATAAAACGAAAGTTCATGCTAGAGAGATTGGAAATGGTCATTTTAGCCTACAGGAAAATTTTGGCAAGGGAGCTGCAAAAAAGACTACAAAATTGCTTGTTTGATTCATTTAATTTCCTTCCTACTTTTTTCCTCAATGCTGCTGTCTATCTTTTCATTCTCACTGTCTGTCTCTCTACTGAGGATTAAGCTCAGAGCTTCAAACTTGCTCTACCATTTGGGTTATTTCCTAGTCATCTCAGTTTACTTAAAAAATTTTTTTTGAGATAAAGTCTTGGTAAGTTTTCCCAGGTTGGCCTCAGAATCACAATCTTCCTGCTTCTTCCTCCCATGAAAACTGGAATTACAGGCTTGTGCCATCATACCTGGCTATATCCTTTAGTATCCTTTAATCCTCTGGTATTCAACACTTACTCAAAATACATTCTTTTATTGCTTTTTATTGCTTTTATGCAGTTTCGTTGTCATTTTAATTGGTTCATTTCTTTGATTACTTATTTACAACTTACAGTGAGCACTTGGCCAATAGAATATTCATTGGAAAGGACTGAAGAGGTCCCATACCAGAAAGGAGAGCATATGATGCAGAGATTAACATAAAAGCAGCACCAGTGGAAATATTGGCTGTGATATCTCTCTTTTGCCCAATTCTTTCAGCTTCTTCTAAATTTTTATTGTATCTGGGAAAAAGAACAAATCTCATATACTTGTAACTTATGGAAATAAGTGAGTGTTGCATGATGGTTATTGAGTAGACTGAATGTGTCCAGACATGTGTTTTGCATCTACTTCCTGCTTTGGCTATACATTAACCCTATGTGTTATTACTCTTTTATTCCCTACTGCAGAATAGGAAACCAAGGCTTATGGAAAGTAATTTATTTGTGGAAAGAACTTCTAAAAGTTTCTTCCTTGCACTTAGAAATATCAAAATGAGCGTAGCAATATTTAGCAAATTCCAAAATACGTATTGTCTCAAACAGAAAGCAAAACAGAAGCAATGAGAAGAATTGTTTTCCTTCAAAATATGCATGCTGGCTGGGAATGTTGATGTATAGCTATAATCCTGGCTACTAAGGAGGTAAAGACAGGAAGATCTCAAGTTTGAGGTCAGCAGAAAGTTAGTGACACACTATCCCAAAAAACAAATTAAAAAAAAAATTCATGGTTGAGCATTTGCCTACCAAGTATCAGGTCCTAAGTTTAATTCCCGGCACTACAATAAAAAAGTCTGTATACCTATTTCAATAATTAATATATATATATAATGCTAGAAAGTATTAAACCTAAAGTAAGTCATTAGAAATCTCTGAATCTTAATGAAATTTTGTGATGTCGATTTCCTTTGTCTTGTTTACTTTAGGAACTACTGACAAGATCAATGGCAAGATTACACATGCCACAGTGAAGCTGTGAGACTATTGTAAGAGCATGTTGAGAACTTTGCAAGGTAATATATGCAATAACTTTCACTTTCAAATATCATTGAATATGCTTTGATAGGTATCTCAACTATAAACATATAACATACTTATTTTGCATAAGAGTATATAAGAGTCCATTATTACTAATCAATGTCAACTTCTTTTTTCCTCTGTACGTATTCCCTAGTGGTCTTCCTGCCATATATCTGCCATGGCTTCCTGCTGCTGGGGTAAAGGGTTTGTGCAGCACATCTAAACTTGTGTAACCTGTTCACATCACAAAGATCTTGGAGAATGTCAGAGAAAATTTTAATCCATATTTTTATTGTAAAGATACTGTACAGAGGGGCTACAGTTACATGAGAAGGTGATGAGTCCATTTCCTATGGAGCATTGTTACCTCCTCCTTTGTTTCTCCCCTACCATCCCTTCCCTCCCCACCTATCCAATTCCCCCGCCCACCTCCCCACACCCACCCCAAGTTGTAAAGTTCATTTTCAACATAGTTTCTTGTACATCTCATTGTTGCAATGGATCATCCTGTATCTTTATTTCAGCATTTTGTTATTTCCCTTCCCCTCCTCAAATTAGAAAAATGTATATACAAGCTGCAGGGCACTGGAATCAAACACAATGACAACAGGGGTTATACTATGGGGGAAGAACATACAAAAAAAACAAAATAAAATCACAGAGTACATTATAAGTACATTAAAGACAACAGCAAGAAAG